GTCTGGGACCAGCTGAAGCAGAGACTGGATGACCGTACTCCACCCCCACGTGACCTGGCAGAACTGCGTGTAGCACTTGTGGAAGAGTGGAACGCATTTCCTCAGAACAACATCATGAGGCCAGTGAGGAGCATGAGCTGTCGTTGTCAAGCTGTCATTGCGGCAAATGGTGGAAACACCCACTACTGACATTGTCAATTTTTGTTATTTGGGGCTATCCTTGTTATTGTTTACATTTTGGGGGTAATAAATAGTAAACTAATGAAAATGGTGTTTCTTCTCATTCATTATTAATAATAGCTAAGGGAACTTTTACTTATTTCATTAAAATTCAGACCAAATAGGAAAACCACTCATGTAAATAACAATATCCCTAACTTATTGTGAGTAGTGTATATATATCCATGTATGTCTTTGTTAAAGTTTTGTTTCCAGCATGTTAATTTTGAAATTGGACTATGTATTAAAAGTATTTTCAATTGTAGTTGGCATGGATGAAAATTCCAAAAATGCCCTAAGGAGTAAAAATTAATCAGGGCTTTTCACAAAGATATAGTTTAACCAGCCCATTGTCAATCGTTAGTTTTACTCACTAGCCACAAGTCTTTTTCATTTTCACATTTTTTGACAGGAAATGACATTTCAATCTTGAAATAGTCTAACATGAACTTTAGTATTTCATATAAAGAATGACTTTTTCTCCCCTTTAAAGCTTTTTTTTTTCAGTGCTTCTTTGTAGTGTCTCTAGTGTCACTGAGGGCAACAAGGCAACAGATTAGTCCAACTTTTCCTCCTCTGAGGGATACAAAGACAAATAAGTTGTTTTTTTTTTGTTTTTTTTCATTAATCCAACACATTTTCAGGTGTGCTGAAAACCTGAACAATGATCTATTATACTTGCAAATTTGTTGTTTAATGTTGACCATTCTCAGTGTACAGGACAACCTTGGCCACAATACCAACTCTGCTAATTTTGACCTTAAGACGAGTCGGGGAAAGAAGTCTATTACTGATGTCACTAGGTAATTATTGTTTTCATTCACTATCGATGTCTTATTATTCTTCAGTTTTAATTTAAAGTAATGGTTTTCTTTCACTGCTTTTAATAGTGAAAGTGATGTTCTTGAATGGCTTGAGAGCCAAGTGGATGAAAGCAAGGAGTTCAAGATCTGCATCACACGGGAAGACCTTGTCCATAGGGGCTTTATTCAATGGCAGAGACAAAAGAAGGGCTGTCCTGTCAACAAACTGAATGTGACTTTCATCGGAGAAGCGGGAATAGATACTGGTGCATTAAGCAAAGAATTTTTGACAGGTAATGTTACTAAATGTTTTGGACAGAGGTACCAAGGAGGTACATGGTTAGAATTCAGTGAATATACTGATTGTGTTGTCTGTCATTATTTGTTGGCATTTAGAAAGGATGCATGGCATAGAGAGGCGACTGTTCGAAGGCAGTGGCAAGAAGGGAAAGAGTCCTGTCTACTCCATTAGTGACCTAGAAAATGGTTTCTACAGGTTTGGGATGTTTCTTAGACTGCATTGATACAGTTTGAACATGAACGTGTGAAAATACACATTTACAACATCTGTAATGTTTGTTGATGACATGCAGAACTGCAGGAGAAATGTTTGCAGTCAGCCTTGCTCAGGGTGGCCCAGCACCATGCTTCTTTAGAAAATGGTGTTACCAGTTTCTGGCAACAGGAAGCTTTGATGTTTTGCAGCTAACCAAAGATGATGTGGATGACCTTGAATATGCCTTGCTCATCGAGAGGGTGAGTACATCTGCTAAGTTTCTGAGAGTCAGCTTGTGTGATAGGCGATTCACAGCACCACACCTTCAAGCATAGCTTAATAGTGGTCGCAGTAACAATTCTCAGTGTAACAAGTCTCAACTGTGAAAAGAAGACTTCGAGTTGCTGGTTTGACAGTTCCAGCTGCACCAAGAAAGCCATTGTTAAGACATCAGAATAAAAAAAAGAGGATTGCCTGGGCCTTAAATTGTTTATTTGTGCTATGCTTTAATTCCAGAGTACAATGAGACAATAAACTGCATTATTTTTTTAATAAAAAACAGGAAAAATCAGGGTGTTGTGAAAGTTTTGACCGGTAATGTACATACTTTCATTAGTATTCTGTGATTGAGTTTATGCTTTACCTTTAGGTGGAGGCAGCAACTGATCTAGCAGAGTTCACAGATCAGATTGTGAGTTGTGGCTACACAGGGCTGATAAAGATGGACAGAAAGGACAGTGTCATAAGGTGCATACACATGTTTACAGTTTTGTTTTATATATATGTATCATAAATAAAAAAAATTGTTTGTTGTGCTAGTTTGCTAGTTCTGTTAGCTGTGAGTGTGAGAGAGAGAGTGAGTGTGTAAGCGAGAGAGAGAAAGCAAATAAGTAAATGTTGGTCTTTCTTGTGAATAGAGCCATTGTTCTACATGCAACAATGCGTGTGACACCTATGCTTCAGCAAATCAGTAATGGCCTAAAGGTGTACAACCTTCCAGAGATGATTGGGAGACACCCAAGTCTTTGTTCAGACCTGTTTGTCCCCAGAGATGATGACAACAGAGTAAGGATGCTAGACATTTTATTATCATAGATTCACTTTGATTGCTGTAGGATGAAGCAATATAACTGCATCTCTTTATGATTTAACATTATTTCTTTTATAGTTTTTTGTTATTGTTTTCTCTAACTTCTCTAATTTTGGAAGAAAACAAAGCTGTTTTATTGTTTTAATCTTTAGCCGGATGCTGATTACATAATGAGTATCCTGGTGCCTCAGATGAGTGAAAAGGGAAGGCCAAAGCATGCAAGAGAAAATGCAGTCATCAACTTCTTCCAGGACTTTCTCCAAGACCTTGAAATGACAGGTCTGATGTACTTATTTTTTACCACTTCTGTGTCATGTTAGATGTTTTGATCAAGGGATTGGATACTGGACAACCACTTGTTTTGGATAACATTATTGTACTCAAGGAATTGTTTGCATCTTCCTTTTTCCTTTCAGTTATTTCAATGTATATCAACATAAAAAGGCGACTGCATAGTTTTACACTGAACTGCATTCTAACAGTGTTGTTTTTTACATTATGAAATGTTCTGATCTGTTAAAGACAATTGTTTTTTTTTCATCATGCAGGTCAGGATGAAGACCAGGACATGTGGAACAGTCTGAGACAAGACGAGCACTGCAGTCCTGAGCAAAACAGCCACTTGAGCCTGTGTGTCCCAACAGTGATGCAGTGGTTAACAGGACAAGGGCACAAGCCACTTCTGCCATCAGAGAGGGCAAATTTTAAAATAAATGTGACATTTGAACACCAGTGTAATGAAAAAATGTCTGAGCACCAGATTTGTTTCCCACTTGTAAGTGCCTGCACAAACACAGTAACTTTTCCTGTTGCACATATGAATACTTACAATGAGTTTAAAGATATAATGACAGTGGCAATCCGAATGAGTAGAGGTTTTAGTAGAGTATAGAGGCCATATTTCCTGATCAGCCATGCCTTATTATCTCAAGTCAGACAGACTGGTCATGGATTCATTCTGCTGTGGTATGGTTGTTTTAGAAAATCTGTTAAGTAAATGTAAGTCTTGGTAAGTCACACTAAGAATGGTTATGTTCAACATGTTGGTTCCTGTTCTGAGTGACAAACGTGTTAAAAACTGCAAGTCTGAGGCTCACAGTTGTATGTTCCTCAGAGCAAAGTTTTATTGAAAGTAACTGGTAATTTGCAAGTTGCACATTGTCAAAAAATAAATAAAGACTGGTTGTTTAAACTAAGGCTGCAACATGCAATTATTTTCAGTATAATTTCTTAACATTTTATGTACATTTGTTTACCAATCAAATGTTATAAGGAAAAAAAAAACCCTTAACACATTCTTTATACTTCTGTTGTACAACCAACAACCCAAAGAGTCATTATCAAATCCTCACATTTATGGAACTAGCGGCATGGACATTTTAGCTGCTTGAAAAAATATACTGAAATGAATATCAAAATGGTTAGCTACTAATTCCATTTCAAATACCTTGTCTATTAACTGTGGACTACATAGTGAAACCATAAAAATCTACAGTAGATCCAACACAGATTCACATTAAGAACTATTTATGCAAGCAAAGTACTACCTGACACTTTGATTAGTCTTTGAGTGTCAGGTAATGTTAATCAAGACTTTTTTTCAAAGCATTCATGCTGATATGTTCCAAATTGCTAACTGTTATTCTGCCATGTTTATGAGTGGAGTGCTACATAGTCAAGAGCAGCTTGGCAAATGTCTCTTCCATTGTCCTGAGAAGGAGTTACAGGATCGATGGCTGCCCTCAGTCCTGCCATTGCATGTGGCCCCAAAGGGCATTGGATGGGTGGTAGAACTACTCCACCAGCAGTCTCTTCGCTCAAACTGTTGGAGTTCCACTCCAAGACGCCATCTTGCATGCCCTATACAGTAAATGACAAGTTATTTTAACACTGTGCATATATCTTTAGTGTATTTTACTGCACTGATTTAAAAAAAAAAAAAAAAATAGGTGTGCAGAATTTATGTTAACCAGGAAACAAAAAAAATACTGAACAGAGACTGATGTTATAAAAAGGTTTTGACCTCTTTCTGATTTCTTTTATTTTTGTATTATTGCATTTTATTATTTCAAAAGAATGGTAGACAAGGTAAAACCAAATAACCACAAATACAGTTTTGAATGCTAATTTCAGTAATCTGTAGTAAAAAGTTGTTTAAATAACTAAATAGCTCAGATTTAACATTTTTGAGCTGTACCTCTACATTCTCTGGAGCAGCCACAGGATGCTGGAGAAGGCCTATGGTCCAAAGTTGATTGTGAGTCAGGTTTTGTTCTGTTCGAAGAGGATGGTTATCCCACCCACTGGCGAAGGTGTCAAGATCCTTTTGGAGGCGTGGCACAAAGACATACTGGGCGCAGAATAAGTGTAGACTGTTGGAGGGATCTAGCAGGCAATCTTCTTCAAGACCATGAAGCAGCTCATAATATACACTTGTTACCGCCATCCACACATCACGCCACAAGCGCTCCACCCTACAAGATAACAAAACAAAAAAATACGTCAGTGTACAGTATTAATATCACTTGAAATGATCAGTGCATAGATTTTATGACCAAAAAGCAACTACATGTACCTTTGATTATGCATGCTTTTTCCAGATATGTAGCTTGCTCGACCACATCCGCGAATAGAGAACATGCAGTTAGCAATGCCAACATTTTCAACCCCTTGGTCTCCTCTAATTCTAAATTATGATATAAGAAACAGAGACAGTCAAATGTTGCCAGAAGATTTTCTTAAGGGACATGGATGAAGGCTTATCTTACCGTAGTGGAAAGCCAAACTCTTCAACAGAGCTCATGAAGAAGTCAAATGCAGTTGAAAACTTGTTATTATTAGCAGCACCGAGGTACATTATCTAGAGCATAACAGCAAAACACTTAAGTCAATGTGTCATACAAACAAACAAATAAATGAACACAAGCTTAGACTCGACTTTTTACCTTTCGGGAATAACCATCAATCCCTGCAAAGATTACAATACCATATCTGAAAGACAAACACATTTTCAGAAAATGTATCACTTCTATAAATTGTAACTGTTTTGTGTTCAGATTTAATTGGTTAATTTTTGATTTTCATACCAGGCAATTTCAAGAATTTCAAACTTTACATTCATTTCCCATTAAGCAACAACAAATGTAATTCATGCAGGTAACTTATCCATATTCAGACTTCCCACCATTCATGCATACCTAATAAGTTTATGATTCGTATCCACGTGGACCAGTGAATGAGGACCTTTGACAGAATATTCTCTCCTAGCAACACAGCCCAAATGAGCCATTCTCTCCAAGATCCCTGCAGAATCCACCCTGTGCATAGATTCTGAAACCTGCTCCCATCTGACTCGGTGTCCCATTGCTTGCAGCTCACCCTTCATCATTCTGTAGCCTATGTGTGGCATTCTCAGCTTAACAGAACGCACAAGATTGTCCAGCTCCCCATCTGTGAGATTGCTATATGAGCCTTTCACTGATAGTCCAAACTCATGCATCCGACGAAACACTGTCTTTTTGCTGACACCAAGGAGCTTAGCTATGCAGGAGATAGACAGCTGCATGTCAATGAGGTCTTGTAGATATTCTTTAGATATGACTAGTTTTGGCTGTCCTCTGCCACCACGCAGGACCTCTACATAGGGAGAAGCTGGAGGTCTCTCCTCCTCTTGCAATCGAATAAGTCTTAAAATTTCAGTTAATGCATGAACAACATCTTGTGGTAATTCCAGTATATTAGCAAAGCTTTGTATAAGTCCCATTTCATGACTTAAAACAAAATGTAAGTGATCTAAATCCACGGGCTGACGTTGCAGAACTTCCTGAAGTCTTCTCAGCATTCTCTCCATGAAGTGCCTCCCAATCAAAAGTTTCTGTAATAAACATTTGAAAATGATTATTTATGTGATGATACCTTAATCAGTTCTCAAATTTCAGATTTATCCTCCTATGAGATTTGATATATTAGACCTGCTAGAAAGCTGTATCGCTTTATAAACACAATAAAGCTGGTATGGCCTTGCAATGATTCAACCTAAAATATTAGCTAGTTACATTCATTTAAAAAAATGCTGCAACACTTCCACATCATAAAACATGTAATGTCTATAATAGTCTTACTGTAGCTTGATCTTTATTCTTAATTACAACTTGTTAACAAAGACCTAAGCCTGTGCAATCTCTCCAATGACAGGTGATCAATTTCTATCAATCATTTTCTTCAATATAAAATATCAATAATTGTAGTTGTTTCCTTATGTTAGCAGAGTTGAATGGAGCACTTTATATTTGAGCCTTTTAAATTTGAACTGCAGATCTACCCTGAGGTACCTGTCTTTGTTCCAATTTGATAGGATATTATTGTTATTTCAAATCAGTGATCAACTTGACAAAGGTTCAAACTCTCCACAAACCTTACAATCTACATAATGAACTCCAGCTCTATCAGCTGTCACAAAAAGAGATGAAGTCCAATCAGCTGCAGATATGTACTCCACCATGAAAGCCACAACATAGTATGAAGGCAAATACTTAAAATAATAAATATGCAAACATGTCACTATGCGGTACAGTTACCTGCTGGAGCCGTGAGTCTGCCATCTCTTATCACTTCAGTATAAGAATTCTGTAGTGTTTGGGAATTATTTTG